GGGAGGAATGGGGTACAAGCCCCCGATGGGGAGGACTGGGGTGGTTCTGTGGGGAGGAATTGGGTACGAGCCCCCGATGGGGAGGACTGGGGTGGCTCTGTGGGCTTCTGGGTGTGGAAGCTCTCCTACAGCCCTCCAATTGCCCCCTCTCCCCAGATGGCAGCCTGCGGCAAGTGCAGCCGGGCTGATGGCCGAGTGGTGTGATGTGCCCAGTGTGGGCACTCCGGGCACTTCAAGCCAGGACTGGTTTGCAAGCAGGGCACCCCTGAACTGTCTGTCCGGGGTGGGGGTCGGGACCCTTTAAGCTCAGCCCTCGGCTAGCCTGAGACAGCATCTCCACGCTCTAAGTCCTCCTCTGATGCCCTGCCGGCACTGCTTCCGGCCATCCTTAAGCCAGGTTCAGGGTCCACTTAATGTGGACATGCTAGTTCGAATTAGCAAAACGCTAATTCGAACTAGTTTTTAGTTCTAGACGCGTTAGTTCGAATTAGCTTAGTTCGAATTAACTAATTTGAACTAAGTTAGTTCGAATTAGCGCTGTAGTGTAGACGTACCCATCAAGAATGGCCAACTAGATTTAAAAAGCCCATTTAAAAACACACACACCAAACTCTAAGGAATTACTTTGCTGAGACATCCAAATTAATGGCAGAGCATCAGTGCACAGCCCGACAGTAATTTCAACTACTCCACTCATTACCAAATCAATAAAGTAACTCATCTTTGAGATTCTCATGTGTATATATTTATTTACTAAAACTTAACATCAACCCAGATTAATGCCTCATTGTGGAAAATCACATAATGCAGCAGTTAGTTATGCTTGTGCATCCATAGTCCTAAAATGTCTTTAATTGTATGTGAATGTGATGGGTTCTTGGATACTGCTAATACTATGCCAAGGTAAGATATTAAGATGTGTCGTGTAAATAAGTAGGTCCCAACAACACTGCAGTGGCATCTATACAAATAATAGTTAGGAAAGTAGTATCTTGTATGTACTTTGGATACCACGTCTCAGAACTGTCATACCTCCCATGTAATGTACATATGTCTGGGCTTCATTGAAAGAGTACTCAATCACAGTACATACTACTAAAGCAATGTAATTTTCATCCTTTCAAAGCATCTCACCACTAGCATACAAAGAAAGCTATCAAATGAAGCCTTTTCAAGGAGAGTTTTCGTGCAACTATTTTTGAATTCCTGAAATGAGTTCTTTTTAGCTTGATTTATGTAAACCACATCACCTAATGGTTTAATCAACAGGTCACCTACAAACTGCAGTGTGAATTCAATTGATATACTGCTGTATTGCTTTATGAAATGATTTATTACATGCCTAGACATAATTATGAAATACCAAGAGATTCAAGACTACACCTGATATACTGAAATTCTCAGCAGAATATTGTTTTACAGGTTAATAGAAAAAAAATTCTGAGTGGCATTTACTTTATCAGCACAGTTGTAATACTTATAAAAAGGGCATCAGATGACAGTGTTTTCTTTTCTTTTTCAAACAGGTAAATGGTTTAACTATGGCATTATCTCTTTGGTTTTAATCCTGGATCTAAATATGTGGAAGAATCAAATATTTTACAAACCTCATGAATATGGTCAATATATTGGTCCTGGCCAGAAGATCTACACAGTGGAGGACTCAGAAAGCTTAAAGGATCTTAACAGAACCAAGTTATCCTGGGACTGGAGATCAAATAACACAAACCCTCTGACTAACAGAACTTATGCTGAGGGAGACATGTTCTTGCATAGCAGGTATATAGGGGCTAGTCTTGATGTCAAATGCCTGGCCTTTATTCCCAGTTTGCTGGCTTTTGCTTTGTTTGGGTTCTTCATCTGGTTCTTCGGGAGATTTCAGAAAACTGAGCAAGGCATGGAGAATCTGGACAAATCCTACACAAGAATGAAAAGGAAGTCTCCATCAGACATAGGAATGACACGAGAAAATACACAGGTTTTAGTAGAGAAACCCTTAAGTTTTCAAGATCCACATTTAGTCTCCATCAAATCAGACTTAAGTGAAATTGTCTTTAAATCTTCCCTTCTAACTTCTGAAAACTTGAGCTTACAGTTGAATGAACAAGACAGCCCATTACAACCAATGTCAGAGTCTTCTGCCCCAAAGAGTGATCCCATGACCTAGAGCCAATTACCCTGAAAAGAAAGATTTAAATAGCCAATTATTGTGAGGGTTCAGTTTTTGTAAGTTAAGGTTTACATAGCATTTAGAACAAAATCTAACCTGTACCACAAAGGTGCTCAACATGCTTTTTCTAGGAATTTTGTTTTCTATTTGTATTATATGTGCCTACTGTATAGCTGACATTCCTTTCTAGATGGCTTCTCAGAATTGCACAAACTATTTATTAATAAATTGACATTACTGTACAATTCTGTATTAGATATTTGCAGGTATAAAATTCTAACCGTGGTTGTGCCTTGAAACATTAAACTGATTTTTAACTCAAAACCTAACGATACAGAGAACAGTTCTTCTAACCTATCTTGCAAGGAATTTTTGTATACAACTATCGTTAAGAAATCAAATGACATTCTAACTAGATGTAGATATCGCTGATGAAAGGTTTCCGATAACATGTCACACGAAAGGTTGACTTTGTTATTCACTCAGCTGTAGTGTCCATGACTTTGATAACTGGACCGCAGAGAAGCGTTTTGATTACCTTTTAATTTTTTGTTGGCTGGCTGCCAAACACCTTCATAATACAGTAACAACAGAGTGATAATGCAGCATGGGTCACTAATTATGAAAATAGGACTTTCTCAATCAGTAATTGGAATGAGATGATAAGGCCAATTATGTTTTTCATAATTAAAGATAAACTGCTACTTGATTAAAAATCCTGCCCTTCACCTTTTAGAAACAAAGGTTAAAATGCATAGTTGGAGCAATAGTCGCATATCCAGATACCCAGTTATCAGCACAAACCTGTGCGGTGCCAAAGAATCAGTGTAGGGATTACAGGAAAGTGCAGAGAGCCCATAGCCTTCAGTGTTTGTACAGCTTTGTGTAACTGGTTTGGGATACATTGTATTGAAAAATGTACAACACAACTGGCAACTCTAACTTCTTCAAAGGCTGCAGCAATGATGTAGGGGGTCTTGGAGTGAATGCATGGAACAGATTAGTAAGTGAATTGTCCTGAATTTTTCCCCTCCTTTCAAGAATAAAACACTGTCCTTTAATAAATAATGGAACCCAGCAGCAAAAACATGGAGGAATTATTTTTGCAGCCTTTTTAAAGGCTACTTGGAATCTGAATTCCTCTGCTGTCTGTTCAATTATATACACTGAAAACATAGCAAATCCAAAATACTGGAAAAGCTGAATTGCCTCTAATTTAGTTTCATAAATTGTTGTTACAAGTTACTAAAGAAGTCATTTTAAAGTCTGAATTATTTCCCTGTCACTTACAGTAACATCAGTATTTTGTCTTCATGGTTTTTTTTAATCTCGCTTGTTTTGATCTATCTGCTTTTAAGTTTTCAGCATGGTGAATTTAGCATGCATAATAGAACGATGCATTTATTATCTGTCACTTGAGAGCCAATTTAATAAACATCATTCAACAATTATTTATCATGTGGCAGGAACCTATCCTCTTTGGTTTTTTGTTTTTGTTTTGTTTTAACATTTTGCCCATACTTTGTCCTATTTAGAATCATAAATATTTCTGACATTAAAAAATAGACATCAGAATCATTGTAATATCAAAACCAACCATTTTTGCCTATGGAACAGTTAATATTTTATCAAGAGAAAGTTTCCTTCTAATGAGGCTGAATTTTAATCCACCAGAAATTGTAGCTATAAAAAATATATTAGCATTTGGTTGGTTCAGTCTGTAAACTTGTTCAGTATATTTATACCCTGTATATTCAAAGACAAGCTATTAGCTTCTTGTGATAAAATAGTCAGATTCTGCCTTTACTAGGTAGGAGTTGATTATGTTTATTTTTTATATTCAAGCAGAATTTGATATGGACAAATAGACAAAATGGCTAATTCATCTTGCAAACACATGGGTCCTCTATGTGATTTGGAAGACTTACCCCAAAATGTCAACTCCTTCTGTGAATTACTTTGTTTTTCCTGTGCAAAGTTGATGGTGACTAATTCCATTAATATAAGTACAAAATGAAAGACTTACTTGAGCCTTGCTGCTTGCATGATTACATGACTTTAAAGCAACCGTTATTAAGCAACTGATCCACAGCTAAAATAATTCTGTGACCTTACATCAAGTTAATGCTTTTAAGGTCACCACAAGACTGCATACAAGAAAGAGAAAATCAAATAATCCTGAGATTTTCCATGAACGCTCAAATTAAGATTCAAGCAGAGAAATGGTGCCTAAAATGCACTCAAACGGCATTATGGGATTCAGGCACAACCCTTGCTGTCAACTCTGCACTTTAATTAAAGGAAGCAATTGAAAAGCCACTAGCTTTATAGTAACAGTCTCCATATGAATCTGTCAACACAGAAGTCAATATGTTCATTCTTTCAATGTTTTCAAACCCTTTCAGGGTATGTCTACACTACCCTCCTAGTTCGAACTAGGAGGGTAGTGTAGACATACCCTCATATACCTCCCTGGCCCTCTCTCTGTCAAACAAATACTGTCACGCCTCTCCAGTGCCATGAGAGGAGATCCCTTCACAGAGTACCATCATCCTCACAATATCGCCTTGCCTCCGCTCTCCTCCTTTCTGCCCACATCCCCACTTTCAAGCCTCTTTGCACTATGTGTCAATTTTCCAGTGCTGCCAACCTCAAGAGATAAAAAATCATGAGTTGGACCCCCAAAAAGCATGAAGTTGGCCCATTTAAAAATGGCGGCTCCCCGCTTATGCAAATGAAGCCTGGGAAATTCAAATCCCGGGCTTCATTTGCAAGTGCGGTATGCCTACATTACCCCGCTAGTTCGAACTAGGAGGGTAGTGTAGACATACCCTTATAGACTTTTGTACATCAAAATGGAAACCTTTTCTAATCTAAGGGCCTGATCCACCACCAATGGCCTGATATGAATGTACTACTGACCATACAAAACAAAATAACGCAGAGGGACTTCAAGCTGTGTCTTCATCAGTGAGTTGGGAAGGTTCAGAAAGGAGAACTTGTGAAAGTGAGCACCCTGCCATCTGTCCCCCACACAATCACAATTTCAAGCCAGAACCATACAGGAGTTGCTGTTCCTTTATAGTTGAATTATGTCTGTGAGAGAATGTATTTGTTTCAATCACTTTTTTATTCAGATACATTGCAAGATATAAGATCTCTAAAAATAGTAGCAAAGGCCATCCAAGGGATAAGGATACAGGATTTATGAGCATACAAATGCTTAAAACATTCTCTGTATCTATAATGATTACATTTGTTGTCATAGGAATGACCTGGAACAACTAGAGGATAAGTGCATCTGTGAAACAGCCCTGCAACCCAGACTCTGCTGATTTGGCTGTAGGTTTTTATTTTTTTAATTATTTATTCAGAAGAAATAGCCCATATCCTCAAGGATACACTTTAATAACCTCTCTATTGTATTGTGTTCTATGATGGGGTGTATCAACCCTGCTCTGGGCCTGAAGGATTTAACCTGTCTCACTGGCTGAGGAAGCCCTGCCTCCACATCCTTGCTGCACATGCTCCAGCTGGAGACCGGTTATAAAGACCTATGGAGTTGCTCAGTCAGGGGGTGACTGCAGCAGGGGAAGGGGGTACCTCAGAAGCTCCAGGGAAGAACTACTAATGGACCAAGCCATAGTGGCTAGTCCACGAGGGACTGTAGATGAAGACCCCAGGCTGGAGCAGAGGGACAGAAAGGGCTACCCACAAGAGACTGGTAGAATTGTATGGAGAATTGTAACCCACAGGAGGCTGACATGTTGTGCTGCTCCACTGCTGACAGGGTCCTGGGCTGGGACCCTATGGTGAGGGAGGGCCTGGGTCCCCCTACCCCCTCCTCACCAACCCCAAATGGGGATCTACACCTATTGTTCTGCCGCTGGCTACTAGGCTGTACTACCCTGACCACAGGGGGTGTTATATTGTCTTTTGGCCTCTAGGCCCTACTAACCTGACCACAGGGAGGATTATAGTGATTCCTTTGGCCATTGGGCCACACTATCCTGAAGGAGAGAGGTGTAGAATTGGACTGTGGCCGTTAGGCCACACTACCCCAAGAGACAGGGGAGTACACAGAGTTACATACAGTTCAAGGGTATTCAGGAGGCCCATTGCTGTCCTCACAGGGGTCGGGCAAGACGTCCCTCAACATGCTTCAAGAAACTCCTTCACTCTATCTCATTTCTTCCCCCATTCCTCTGGGCTCTCTTGTGACACTGATTTCATCTCTAGTCCTTCCTAACATTTGGTATTATTAGTTCTAGAATATTCTCCTCTGCTAGTGCCATTATCTGGAACAATTCTTCTAGATTCTCCCACCTGTTAGCTCTCCATCTATGAAATTCTAGCCAAACCTATATCTTTTCTCCATAGTACATGTCTCTTCTTCTCTAATAATTTTTTTAACATTTAAGCGCATTTAATGTTACATTAAACTAAATTTCAGTTCTGTTATTTGCCTCATGGAATGCTTTTGAGTTAAAGTTATCTTTTCATACAAATTTTTTGTTTTCCACTTTCAATCTAGGCACAGTAATTTGGGTTTATTTCTTGACACATTTACATCTCTCACCCCCAAATGAGTTTAGCTTTCATCTTTCCTTCTTTGAATAGCCTCCATGTTACTAGCCACATGATAGCACATCCAATCTCTATGGTATCATAGAAGATAGAGATCTAAAACCCAACTAGATTATCAAGTAATGCAGGTAGGGCTCCATTAAATGATGCATCAGACACTCATCATACTCTCTAGATTTTTAACTAATGAATCCAATGAATTATTGTACAACAGTCTTAGTAACATGTTAACAGAAGTACAAGTGTAACCCACTTTTTCCTCCCCAGGTTATGTGGGAGCAGGTCACACTCACAGGTGTGCCTGGGCGCCTGATGGTTTTAACATAAAAGGAGATCCTGAGTACCCCAGTGGTGATGTTGTTTAGTTGGGGAAACCCTATACACCTCCTTGCTGCTGTCCCTTACTCATAAAAAACATATAATGGCAGTGCCTCCACCTGGCTGGCCCTGTACACACTTAATGGTGTGCCTTGAGAGCCTCCAGGGATAAAATTATTCCAGCAATAATCTGGATCTAGCTCCAGAACAATTCCAAATCATAAATAGTATACATCTGATAGATTACAGTAGAAAGAACAACCTTTACTTAACAACTTAAGGAAACAGAGTTTAACAGATTAACAGTGAATAACATTAACAAAGTACACAGAAATAATAGGAATGTATCTATCTGGCATTTGTACTGCCCCTGTTTATCACACACCAGAGTATGCACTCCTCAGGACTCTCAGTACCATACTCTTGCTTGTGTGGGCTCGCTTGAAGATTTTGCAGCTGGAGTGGATGATTCTAGTCTCCTTCTATGTGCTGAGTGCAGAGTAGTACTTCTAGCCACAGGTACAGCCAAAGGGCAATCAGAAGCAGCCTGCTTGATTCCAGTCCCAAAGGCTCTGAATCCAAGTCTGTAGCTGCAACATAACAGCTCCTGGACTGGCTAAAACTCCTCCACAGTAGCCTGGCTCCTCTTTTCCAAAAACAAAGGGAAGAGTCCACAGACTGCTGAGAGTCTCTCTCCACACACATGGAGAGACCCAGCACCCAAACAAAAAATCACTTCCTTCCTGGGTTCCTCTAGGGCTCATGGGAATGGTAGTCTCTGGAGCTACATTGCAGCACACAGGATCTTCCCAGAGAATAAGCAGAGGTACCTTTAGTAAGGGGACTACACAAGGAAAGTGTGTATCCCAGAAGTCAAGAAGCTGCATGTGGTTTTGACTGGCTCTTTGGATAGCACTTACAAGGAAAAGTCTGAAGTTTTGAACAGACTATAAGACTAATAAAAATTAGAGATGGCTCCTACCTTATGTAGGTGCATAAAGCTGATTATCTTGCAATTGCTGAGTATAATATGCAGATGAGGAATGAACTATATCAGATGTTAAACTGATACTATGCTTGGACTTGTGTGACGGAAATACTCAGGAAGACATACTGCAGATGCTTTGATTTAAGTTGGATTTATGGGCAAACAACTGCAAACCTTTTATCAATACAGAGATATCCCACTTAACTGCACACACATCAAATGCACAAACAGGTGTAGCGCAATTACTGCACAGCCATTCTTAGGCTAAGCTAAGGAGATGTTCCTTTTATCCATCCTCCTATCGCGAGGCACTTAAACTAGTCAGACTGTAATGCTTAGTTTCAAACTACTAGAAAGGTCCACATGAAGAAAAGCAAGGATGGACAAATTAATAATGTGTTGAATTTGTACCCCACACTTGTGATGGTGTTGAGGGCAGGGGAGTGAGAGAAATCCTTTATTTAAATAGTTCGGAAACAACCAGAAAGTTCTGGATCTTTGGCATTCTCAAAAGAAGGTGTGACCAGCACCGTACTCATATACTCTGAAATATCAGCCCCCTCCCAAGTTGTTAAAGGAACGCATAAAAGAAACTGTACCAAATAGGGCATTTCAGTACCCTGTCTAAAGGCATAAAGAAATCTCTTTTTCCAGCCTTTAGGAAGATTTTCCACTACAGTAGGAGGGAGTTAGGCTATGCTGATGTAGGGGGTGGTATGAAAGAGAGGGTGTCATGACTTGAGAAGGAGTGAGAGAAAAGGAACACTGACTAAGTAAGGGGCACAGTCTTGAACTTCAACCCTTTGATATTTTGAGGAGGAAGAGTTTAAGTCTAACCTTCTACCTTTCACTCCATGGCAGCCCCTTACTGGAGAGGCCAATGCCCCCAGAAGAGGAAACACCAAAGACCTTTCTTTTTGCCAGCTCTTCCATAGGACAACAGAAATCCTTCTTCCTCCTTTTCACCAGCCCTTCTTGCTTCACATGAAGGAGAGCAGGCCTCCTCTTATTTCCTAGTTCCAATAGGGCCTAATCTCTTTGCTAGGTCTTGCAAGGCCCCTCTTTGAATTAGCTCAGCAATTAGTCATAATCCCACTAATAAAACACCCTGGTTACATCTACACTGGCATGATTTTCTGAAAATGCTTTTAACAGAAAACTTTTCCATTAAAAGCATTTGTGGAAAAGCACGTCTAGATTAGCAGGATGCTTTTCCTCAAAAGCACTTTTTGCAGAAAAGCGTCCGTGGCCAATCTAAACGTGGTTTTCCGCAGAAAAGCCCCGATCGCCATTTTCACAATCGGGGCTGTTTTGCGGAAAACACTACTGTGCTGTTTACACTGGCCCTTTTGCGCAAAAGTCTTTCAGAAAAAGACTTTTGCCCAAACGAGAGCAGCATAGTATTTCCGGAAAATCACTGATGATCTTACATGAGATTGTCAGTGTTTTTCCGGAAATTCAAGCGGCCAGTGTAGACAGCTGGCAAGTTTTTCCGCAAAATCAAATGATTTTGCGGAAAAACTTGCCAGTCTAGACACAGCCCCTGTGTTTACAGTGTGCTTTTCATCTGCAGAGCTCAAAGCACTGGATAGGTATTTCAAGCCACATTTTACAGTGGGGGAAGCTGAGGCATGTCCTATCAATAAGTCCAAGAGTTAGAGGGGCTCTTTAAGGTGGCAGAGTGATTCAGGCCCAGATGGAATTCAGTGGAAGAGCTGGCTTCTGCAATGGGCTTCATTTGTCCTGGGAGAGAGTTGTGGCTGCAGAGAGCTGATGGAACCCAGATGGCTAGAAGTGGAAGGCACATGTCTTAGGCTAACTCTTCAAATGAATATTCTGTTTACGTTTGTGTGAGTCTCAGCACACCTATACCATCCAGCCTTAGAAAATCCACAGTCACAACATCCTGTCTACTGGGGCTACGACTAGACTGCAGGCTTCTTTTGGAAGAAGCTTTTCTGAAAGAGATCTTCCGAAAAAACTTCTTCCAAACGAGCACGTCCACACTGCCAAAGCACATCAAAAAAGAGATCTGCTTTTACAAAAGATAGCGTCCATACTGAATGGCTGCTATCTCGCATTTAAACTGAGATTACTATGGACGGAGAGGCCACTAGGGCACCTGTGCTTTTTCCTCTTTCCTCTTCTACGGAAAGAACGCCCTCTTCCCCATCCACACACGCCTTTTTCCAAATGAGCTGTATCACAAAAAGGCTTCTTCCTGGTAGACAGAAGATTACCAATGCCGGAAAAACCCCTCTATTCTTTCAATTTTCTTTCAAAGGAATGTAATTCCAGTATAGACGTAATTGAAGTTTTTTAGGATACCCAGACTAACACGGCTACATTTCTATCACTATTCTACATGTTAGGATAAACAGGTGTTTTTCTGAAAAAAAACCCTCTGTAGTGTAGACATACCCTGGCAGAGGGAATGAACAGAACAGGTGCTCTGGCAAACAGAAGTTAGGGACCATCCCTGCCCATCCTAGCTGGTAACTATCCTCAATGAGCTTATCTAATTCTTTTTAGAACCTGTTACATGCTTGGCCAATACAATACCCTTATAACAGCAATACTCTTAATGTTACTATTAATAGCACTTTTTGTCTTTGGTGTCAGATGCGGCCTGCAGAAATTAGGGTGCTGTAGCTTATTGTTGTAGGTGCTGCACATGGCTTCTGAATAGCTTCTCTGTGGTAGAATTCACCCTCCACTGTTTTCTCATCAGGGTTTGTTTGTTTGTTTGTCTCCTGCTTTCCCTTACATGTGCTTTATTCTTCTGACAGCCCTGAGTACAAAATGCCCATAGAAAGACCATTGTTGTTTGTGATTGTTTATAGAGTGCCATTTGGGCACAAAGCTGTGCACAATTGACAAAACTGTACCTCAGAAACAACAGGTTCCTTCCTCATAGAGTTAACAATTTGAAGACACAATGGAGTCGAAGTCAGTTCATTACAATACTGCAAAATGTTTGGGTCTGATCTTTATAACCAGGAGGTTTCTTGAAATATGTAGCGTTTTAGATTTCTGGATTGTTCATGGAACATTTATATTGGTTCAATAATATGCAAAGAAGCATAGCATGGAACAATGTCTGCTACATTTCTCTTATTCTTAAGGGATCGCTCTCTGCCCCTACAATTGCAAGAGTCTGGGAAAAGGTGGGGCTGCACGGAGAGTTGTATTTCTTCCCAGTCCCCAGCCTCCTTCTACTGCTCTCTGTCTCTTAGGCTGTGTCTAGACTGCAGGCTTCTTTCGAAAGAGGCTCTTTCGAAAGCATCTTTCGAAAGAGCCTCTTTCGAAAGATCGCGTCTAGACAGCAGGCGGATCTTTCGATAGAGGAAATCCGCTTTTTCGAAAGAGAGCACCCAGCGAGTCTGGATGCTCTCTTTCGAAGACGGCCTCTTTACATTGAAGAACGCTTTCCTTCGAAAGAGGAACTTTCGAAGGAAGGCGTTCTTCCTCGTGAAACGAGGTTTACCGCCATCAAAAGAAAAGCCGCGTTCTTTCGAAATAATTTCGAAAGAACGCAGCTTGAGTCTGGATGCAGGGGAAGTTCTTTCGAAAAAAGGCTACTTTTTTCGAAAGAACCCCTGAGTGTGGACACGGCCTTAATTCCTAGGAGCAATGTGTGACTTCAGCCCCCCATATATTTTTCCAAAGGCACAGATGATCTTTACATACATAGCCTCTACCCCTTCTCCCCACCTGCTGATTACTACAAGTTCTTGGTGCTGCTTTGTCTTTCCACAGCCCTTCAGGCTATCTGCTTTTAAGAAACCTCAGATCCTCCTTTTTCCACAACGGCTGCCCTCTGTCCCCCAGCAATGGTTCGATGGCACGGGATTGTATCTGCAGACCAGGGAGGCTGTCAGGAAGGATAATGAAAACAAGGGAGTCAATCAATCAAAAAATAACATGTAAATTTTCATTTTTAAAAATGCAAGACCGGGATTTGGGGCAGAATGGCACATTCCTTTCTTCAGTTAGGTAGTTCTGATTTTCTCTGTTGTTCCATTTTCCCATATAATTATCCCCCCCTTCCCACATTTAAATCATGCCCTTTTACATTCTTTGCATTATCATCAATTCCCCAGTACCCTTCCATTCTCCCCACTCACACCCTTTCCTGGCTCCTAATTTTGCTCTCTTTACTCAGTCCAATTAAAGAGAGCCAAGTGGACAAGGGAAGGCAACTGAGCCATTTTTTGCTTTTTGAGAGCTTTACCCTTTGGAAAGGAAGGGTTGCCGCTAAAATCAGAAGGATGCCTGCACTTTTATAACTTTGTCGCCAAGATGCTGGCAGTTGATTTAAACAGTTTTGGATGAAGGTTAATGTTGATAGAAAGGAGGAAATAGGAGTAGCAATAAACAGCAATCACACAATATGCAAGTGGCCAGCCACCACCAATGCAGACACCCACTCCACTAGAGGGACAAATTCTATACCGAACTCATAGTGCAACAACTGGAAGTCGCACATGAATAATTAACAAGCACAAATGGCTTTTCAGAGTTGAAATGAATTCAAGGAAGATTCTTTGTGATGCTGAAATGAATTGCAATGATACTTTGTACAGCTATAACTAGTATCTGTTTATTGCCTAGTATTATATTTGCATATTGATGAAGCCAATTAGCTCTGTAATTTGCAGTCCTTCGTTCATGTAAACAATTACCTGGAGTCAGTCTTTGGAATTATTCATACAAGTTACACTTGAGTGTTATTCAACTAGGAGAACTCTAGTAACATCCATTAGTTTGATTAATTTTTAAAGATTTTGGGAAAATCCCGATGGAGGCGATAGTAGAGAATCAGTATAAGATCATGATCTCAAATGTTATTAATCTATTATCTCTAGTAAATGCAAAAAGTAGAATATTAACTTAAAATGAAAAACAACATTCAGTCCAGCATGGTACAAATCAATACCATGGGCTTTATTGGAGTTTCCATTTACGAAGGAAAAAGAGAACAGCAAATATTCTGTATGTGCAACATGGACAAGCTGCAGTTGCTGGGCTTTTGTTGTTTGCTTTTAATTAATACTTACATGTTGGGCCTAGATTGCCTTCCAGTGTTCCTTTACGAATAAAAAATACCCTGCAGTAGTGAGGTTAACTGGAAGGAAGAACAACCTCTGCAGATTCTTGTTGGCAAGGCTGCAGACAAATTAGAAAGAGAACAAGAGTGGGCCAGCGACTGTGTAGAATTTCAAAGGATTAAGCACTAGCAAAATGGTTCAGATGTGTAAGGGACAGGTGGGGAATGGTTGAAGCAAATCTATATGGGAATGAAACTCGTGGGCTCAGTACAATGTGTTATTAAATGTTTGTTGCTTTAAGGACTTGCTTACAGAAAGATATGGGTCTAACATAAAGGACAGACAGACAAAAGAAACCAGAGAGATAATGTTAGCTTAAAAAGGATTGCAAAAATTTAATAACAATATTTTTTTTCACTTAATAGAAATGATAAATTAGAGTCATATTAATGCTTCCTTTTTGCAACCACTTGGTCAGTTGCTACAATACTGGTGGCTGTACAGATGCCTCTATGGAGGGTTTTAATAAATTTAAACTGAATCATAGTAATGGCTATTACTTATTCTTCTAGTTGAGTCAAACAAATATTCAACCATGGTCAAAGCTTTGTCAGTTAGTCACTTGTACACATGCTGCTTCACAGCAGACACAGCTAGGACAGGTGCGTTCCAATGAGTTCCAGATCACTGTGGGTTAAAGCTGGTCCAGATGCTGGAGCTCTGTGTGAGTTTCCTTACATGTTGACTGTGAAAGCTTTGCCAGCTAGCACAGCTTAACATGCACTTGTGTTTCAGCTTGTGTGTCGTCTGGAGATAATGCAAACCTGTTCTCTCAAGTACAGATCATTTCCAATAATCATTGTTTCCATGGTGACTGTAAAAGCAAAAATGTTCTGGTTTTGCATCGTGACATGATATGAAACTGTTCTCCACAATTTTTATGAGGTAAAAATGAAATTTGGAACCCACACACAATATCCACATTATCCACCTTCCCCCATCTGTCCCTTGCCTCCTTCCACTCCCTTTACCACCCACACACGTCCCACTAGCACCAAAGAAAAGGAATTATTTAAAGAAATCCTTTGGAATCCTCTTGTACGTCAAGATAAGAGTGTAGTCCTTTAGGGACTCCTGTGCTCATTGGTGCAAAGTCAATATGTTGAGTCCTAGGGTTAGAGAGTACATTATTGACATGAGAATTGCTGTACTGGATGAGACTCAGACCCAAGAAATTGGTCTTTCTCAGTTTACACAGTGAATCCAGACTCGGTGAGGTTATTTAGGTGTTGTGTTGTGTCGTGTCTTGTGAATAGATGGCATTCCCAGGCTAGAGTGAGCCAGAGAAATCCAGCAGAGACACATACAAAGTTCTATTCAAAAGAGACCTGGATTTTTAACTTTCCTTTTATGTTGTTTATTAATGATTATTAGTCACTGGGGCGGGGGGAGGGAGGGCATTCACCCTCTGCCAATGAGCAATTCTAAAATTCTACAGAAATCATGCCAACATTCTAGTTCCATATCATAATTGACCATTTCTCAGGGGTGTACCTATTATGTGCTGGTATAAAGTTGTGCAAAACAACAACACATCAAGAAACCAGACAACTCTACTAGTTTCACATCACTCTATTTTTGCTGAGCGAAGCATAACCTCATCTCAGACTTTAGCTGGGCAAGCAAGGCTTCCTGAAGGCCTCTTTCTCATCTGCCACGTGCTATGGTGGAAAAATGGATTTTAGCTGAGCCACATTCCAATCTTTTCATTGTAGTTATCCTGTATATTATATTAGCAGCTAGAAGCCCCAGCCCAGGTGGGGCTCCATTGTACAAGGTGCTGTACACAGCTAGGCAGAGCCAGTCCCTACCCTAAAGAATTTAGTACAGAGAAGACACATACAAAAGGTTTTGAGGGAAAACAGCAGCAGAGTGAGGTGATATCCCTTGCCTGGATAACTGAGCTGGTCCTGAAGCCAGGTATCCTGAGTGCTGTGCTAGTGCCCCTATATTCTCCCAGCATGCTTGAGACTGACTTTTCAGCTCGCCCACAACATAAAGGTGGGCATGTTCTGTGTTCCCTTAGGTTAGCATAGTGGGTGATGCTCTCAGTTTTCATATTAAATGGACTTGGGGGTCCAACATTCTTTCCATATTATATATTCAAGTTTGAGGAAGGCAAGTTTTGATCACAAAAAATATTTTTGCTAATGAGTCCATATGCACCTAGTGATTTGTTGTATCCAGCAGAAATGGAAACTCACCCCAAATGTGCTGTTCTTATTTTGTAGGCAAGTATTTCATAGCTCTAAATATAGCATAGGCTGGTGCAAACCTGTATGCAAATTACACAGAGAAGCATACTGGCCAGGAAATTAAAGTACCTCACAGCTGTACGTTCTTTTATTCCAAGGAATATACTGTATATATAAATTCCTGGCTTCTTTGAATGTTTTTTCTTACATTTCATCTCCTCTTACAAGTAGGTGCAGGGTTTGCTGTGTCTGGAGTTGCACTTTTAGAATTGGTGCCCATGTGTGTTCTTTTCTTAGGTTATATTGAATGTCACCAGTGAGCAAAGCTCGAAATTCAAAAGCCATGAAGTGAAAAATATCCATTTAACAGGCTCCTAGCATGTACGTTGCAAGTGCATTAATTCTTGTTTGAATGATGGGATACAGAGACCTGTAAAATAACAATGCATTTGTAATGGAACACTGCACCAAGAAACCTGATGCACTGTCTCATCCCAGATGTGAAAGAGCAGCCAGCATCAGCACGATAAATTGTATTTTTAGTGACCAGATGAGTAGAAACTGTTAGCCCAGTGAGAATCATCACAGGCAGCAGACCCACAAAAAGATCCTTGCTAGATCTCAAAATACTCACACCCAAAATGGTGTGCTCCGTCAATCAATATCAGCCATTTCATGACTGATGAAATATGGTCTGTGGCATGTAAGAAATGTTGGGTTCTGCTGATATGCTGGGCCAAGCCCAGTGTGCTTGGCGAATCACGGAACATAGCCTGTGCCATATGAAAAAACCTGACCATCCACTACTTAACTTGGGTGCCAATTCACTCCTGAAAGCAGATGGGAACTCACTGTGGGTGGACCTGCTGCTGCCATAAACTTAAGTTGCTAAATGCCCTCATATTTATAACTCACTCCTGGGTGCGCTGGCCTTTAATTAAAAAGTTTCCCTACCAGTTTGAATTCCAAATACAGTCTGGGTGGCTAATGGCACCATCCACAATGCTGCTCTCAGGCCAAATCTGAATTGCTATAGATGTGTCGCTCCTGTGAGGCTCAATGAAAGTTAGAACAGCCCCTTCAATGAGTGGCTACTGGTTATGCTCTTTTGTAACACTCACTACATGTCAACAAAGGTCCTGATCTTACCTATATGTGGCACCAAAACAACATTAGCTGGCAGGTGCAAACAAAAGGTGAAGTTCTAGCAAATACTGGGGGAGAAAAACAGGGACCCAGCTGGGAATGCCCCCACCCCCAGAGTACTCCAGTCCCAGCAATGTGCAAAAGTAACCTTCTTCCCCTCTGGGGGGCACTAGGACCCACGTGGCACCCATTCCCCTGAGCTCTGTGGATTGGAGAAGAACACCATTCCAGGGAGGACACAGCCTCAGGGTTAGAGAAACTCTCCAGCCAGTAGGAGTAGGTCCAGAGGCAGCCTCAGCAGGGATTGCAACAGGAGCCATGAGCACTAGTGCTGTCATCTCCTACTTAGTGCAGAATTGTCTGTGGACAGTCTCTCCCTTGTCCTGATTGGCTGATTGAGCCAACTCCCTTCTGTCCCCACCCTCACACTCTCTCTGCCTCTTCCTCACATTCTACCTGCCTTCCCATGCTCCTCTTTTGCCCTCTCTGCTGTGTCCCTCACCCTTTATCTCTCCAGCTAGCTGATCACAGATAAATTAAACCTCACCCAAAAGAATGAAAGGAAAAAATACATAGCACTTTAAAGACTAACAAGATAGTTTAATAGGTGATGAGCTTTCGTGGGGCAGACCCACTTCTTCAGACCCACTTCTCTACAGAAAGCCTACTGACTGCTACACTTACCTACATGCCTCCAGCTTCCATCCAGGACACAACATATGATCCATCATCTATAGCCAAGCCCTTAGATACAACCGCATCTGCTCTAATCCCACTGACAGAGACAAAAAACTTCAAGATCTCTACTAAGCATTCGTAAAACTCAATGACCCACTAGGGGAAATAAAAAAACAAATTGAAAGGGCCAGACACATACCCAGAAACCATCTACTTCTAGATAGGCCCAAGAAAACCAACAATAGAACACTACCTGTCATTAACTATAACCCCCAACTTAAACCCCTCCAATGCATCATCAATAACCTAGAACCTATACTGGAACAGGATACTATACTCTGAGGGTATGTCTAGACTGCATCCCTCTGTCGACAGAGGAATGCAGATTAGGCAGGTCAACATTGCAAATGAGGCAGGGATTTAAATATCCAATGCCTAATTTGCATAAAAATGACCACCGCATTTTGCCGACTTAGCACTTTATCGGCAAAAAGAGGCAGTCTAGAGGGGGATCTGTCGAGAAAGAAAGCCTTTTTCGACAGATCCCTTATGCCTTCGGCAGACCTATACTCTCTTATAGAAAACCACCTAACCTCAGGAAGATTCTTACTAACAACCACAGGACATACCATGTTAATACTAACCCTGGAATTTTCCCTTGCAACAAACTCCGTTGCCTACTTTGTCCACATATTTACTCTGGACACACCGTTACTGGACCTAACCATGTAAGTTATACGATCAAGGGCTCATATTCCTGTACATCCGGCAATGTGATGTATGCCATCATGTGCCAGCAATGTCCCTCTGTGATGTATATTGGACAAAGTGCTCAGTCACTTCACTAAAGAATTAATGCCCACAAATCAGACATCAAATATCTTCACACTGAAAAACCTGTTAGTCAACATTTTATCTAACTGGCCATTTCCTTAAAGACCTGACAATGTGCATCTTACTTCAAAGAGACTTTAACACCAGATTACAGAGAGAGACTTCTAAACTTTTATACATGCTTAAATTTGACACTTTGTGAATG